TTCGATGTTTTAAAAAAAGTTTTAAAACAATAAAAAATGTTTAAAAAACTGTTTAAAACGTTTTTTTACCATCCCTACCAAGAGGTCATCTTAAAAAAAAAAAAAAAAAACAATACAAATTGGTAATATTTAGATTATAGATCTTAATAATCTCCTAGTTTGGTATATTATGTTATTTTTTTCTTAAAATTATTCTGACATTAGTCTAAGATCTGCAGAAACTCGTATCTTAAACTCACAGATTCAGGATAGAGGTTGGAACCGGTTTTAATAATTTGGGTTTATCACGTGAATTTGGTGATATTTTAGAATTTATTAAATTTTAATTGAATTAAATTCTAAAATATTACCAAATTCATGTGATAAACCCAAATTATTAAAACCGGTTCCAACCTCTAATCCAGGATGTAGATGAGATTTTCTAGGTCATGTATAATTTGACTCTCTAACCCTATTCTAAAATTAGTCGAATTTATATATTGTGTATATATATACATACGTATATATATACAAATATTAATATCTTTTTTTTATCTATACATCAATGTATTTTTTTTGATTATCATTATCATTATCTATTTAACTATTTAATTTATTTGTAGCCTTCCTTTTGTTTAATCTTGTTTGTTTTATTTGTCTTGGGATCAGTATAAACTTTGTAGCTTTCGATTTCTGATCCTGTAGTTAAGTTTTTTTGTCTTTCGGTCTTGGGTATGTAATTAATTTGCATTTAACTACCACTTCTTTTTTTTTGGTCCTGTAGTTGAGTTCTTTCATTTTTTGGTCTCACAGCATATAGTTAAATACCACTTTTTTTCTTCTGGTCCTGTAGTTTAGTTTTTTCATTTTTCGATCTTGGGTATATAGTTAATTTGCATTTAACTACCACTTCCTTTCTTCTGATCCTGTAGTTGAGTTCTTTTATTTTTTGGTCTCACAGCATGTAGTTAAATACCACTTCTTTTCTTCTGGTTTTGTAGTTTAGTTCTTTCGTCTTTCAGTCTTAGGTATATAGTTAATTTGCATTTAACTATAACTTCTTTTCTTCTGGTTCTATAGTTGAGTTCTTTTATTTTTTGGTCTCAAAGTACATAGTTAATTTGTATTTAACTATCACTTCTTTTCTTCTGGTCTTGTAGTTAAGTTCTTTTGTTTTTTAATCTTGGAATATATAGTTATTTGTATTTAACTATCACTTTTTTTCTTTCAGTCCTGTAGTTGAGTTCTTTTATTTTTCAGTTTCAAGATATGTAGTTAAATTGTATTTAACTACTACTTCTTTTCTTTTAGTCCTGTAGTTCAGTTCTTTTGTCTTTAATTTTAGATATATAGTTAATTTATATTTAACTACCACTTCTTTTCTTTTGGTTCTGTAGTTAAGTTTTTTTGTTTTTTGGTCTCGGGGTATGTAGTTTAATTGTATTTAACTACTACTTCTTTTCTTCTAGTTCTGTAGTTGAGTTCTTTTATTTTTCAGTCTCAGGGTATGTAGGTAAATTGTATTTAACTACCACTTCTTTTTTTCTGGTTTTGTAGTTAAGTTCTTTCATTTTTAGTTTCGGGGTATGCAATTAAATTATATTTAACTATCACTTCTTTTCTTCCGGTTCTGTAGTTCAGTTCTTTTGTCTTTTGGTTTTGGATATATAGTTAATTTACATTTAACTACTACTTTTCTTCCGGTTCTATAGTTCTTGAGGTATGTAGTTAAATTGTATTTAACTATCATTTCTTTTTTTTCAGTCCTGTAGTTGAGTTTTTTGTTTTTTGGTCTTTGTGTATATAGTTAATTTGTATTTAACTACTACTTTTTTTCTTTCAGTTCTGTAACTCAGTTCTTTTGTTTTTCAGTCTTGAGTATGTAGTTAATTTCATTTAACTACTAATTCTTTTCTTTCAGTCTTGTAGTTGAGTTCTTTTGTTGCTGGAGTTTATGACACTTGATTTTTTAGTCTTATATATATAGTTAATTTGTATTTAACTACTACTTCTTTTCTTTCAGTTCTGTAGTTGTATTTTTTGTTTTTTTTTAATTTCGGATATATATTGTAGCAAAATTGTTTTAATTACTATAAATAAAATAAAAAATAAATATTTAATGTATATAGTATATAAAGTGTAAATTGATATAGTTGGTAGTAATTTTTATTTAATTGAGATGTTAAGGTTAGGGTTAGGATTAGATTGTGTTAGGTATTCTAATTGATCACGTAATCATGTACTTCTGATCTTAATTGGAAAGCATGTTTTCATATGATCCAGAAAATCTCACCTACTCCTGATGCTGTTTCTTAAACCAAAAACTACTATCTAGTTAGATTTACCACATGACAGAATTGATATTTCATTGTTAGATATTCCTTTTACATTTCTGCCTAGATACTACTAACCCATATCTCAAGCCAGTTTCTGCTACTACAGCTTAACTGCAGATGCTCAGATCTTAATATTATATAGTCACTTAGTGTATTCTTCTGTTCTTTTAAATACTACTTGCTATAGGGAGATTTAAAACATATTTTTTAAATATATAGAATAATTCTGGTTGTATCTAGAAAGTTATACTAACCCAATAATACCATATTTAATAATATCATACTACAGTATTTTAAGCCAGAAAATTGCTATCTAGTTGGTTTATTATATAATAGAGTTGATATTATATTGTCAAATAAACTCTTTCATTTATCTGTTTAAATACTACTAATCTATATCATAAACCAAGTTTCTGTTATTATTATTAATTTGCCAAATCTTAGAATTTAATATTTTTTTTTTAAATATAGTAGTATATTACTAATCTACTATACTTAAAGGTGGTGTTATAAAAGAGTTAAAATTAACAAGCTGTTTGTAAATATCTTCTACTGCAGCAATATTATTTAATAAGATGTTGTATTATTTTGGTTGACTACTTCATTATATAATTTATATTATAAATATTTTTTTGTTATATATTAGATTAATATACCACAGTACCAAATCATTAAGATTGGCATAGTACTTAACAAATAAAATTTTACTTGCCTATTTTTTCTTTTGTGTACTCAAATCAAAAAAAAGAAAACAAAACAAACCAAAAATGAAAAATATATAAATAAATATTAAACCTATTCTAAAACACTAATAATAGGTGTGGCAACTTAGAGTAGTAGTTAAGTTGTCACCTTCCAAGCGACAGGTCTAGAGTTCGAATCCCACCAGAGATGTGTTTAGAAAAATAGGCCTGTGTTCTGATAACAATTATTCGACAATCGGTTGGGTATATCACCTATAATTTTGGTACTACTATCTTAAAATGGAAGCTCTTAGGCGATCCAAAACCCAAAGAACCAGAATAATTAAAATCTGTTTGGCAAGACCCGAGTAAGGAAGTAGTGACGATCTTTGACGATACTGCAGAAAGTCGTAAACTGGAAACTGAAAAACCAGATGGAAAACCCTGATACAAAAAGGGTTTACCAATCTGGCTGCCAGAGTTGCACCAGAGGAAAAGGTCTTATGTTACAGAATTAAGAACCAAGGGAAGTAAAACTAGAAGGTACTTAAAGCCTAGGTATAATGACCCATCCAGGCTAACTGGTTTGGTAGTTGGGGAGGGATTGATATAAGGACTGGCTTGATATGGGTATCAGGATCGGAACGAACCTTGCAAGAGCTAGGAGATTTGGCAGTATGGTCTGCTTATAAAGGTTTAGAACCTATCTGGCAAACTTATCTACAGAAAGAATTGGTGGTGTGGTCTGCTCGTAAAGATATAAAACCTATCTGGCAAGACTTATTCGAAAAAGACTAGGTAATACAATAATAAGAGGATACCGGACTGCTCTAGCAGGTAATGCACTTGAGGATGAATCGGTTAATCATACCAGTAGTCCTATAAGTAACTCACAATGATCTTAGAACTTGAACTGACTTATATATCTCATGTTCCAGATGAGGTTAGACGGATTGGCATAGGAAACTCAGATCAGAGGGTTTAATTGTGTAATCTAAATAATAGTAGATTACAGGTATGACATCTAGTGTAGAACCTAGTAATAGGCAAACTACTTAAATTAGGTACTCAAAAGGCACAGGTATAGCTAGAATGTATCCTCGTCAGAATGTACTTGTCTGAGACCCCTTGATAAAAGCACCACATGATTCTACAAATCTAATAAAAGCGAAAAGCCAAAGAGGCTAACCTTGATTATAAAAAAAAAAAAAAAAAACACTAATGATTAACAAAAACAATATTTAATGCTTGCTCCAATATAAAACTGATCTTTAATTTTGTTTAATAATTGTAATACAGTTACAGTACCACTAAATACTTTACTCATGAAATCTATAAACCTTATAACTCACAACTTCATATTCTTAGCTTATATTATAATCAGGTTTCTATATTAGTTGAGATTATAAAGAATAAATTTTCACAAAATAAGTAAAAAACAGCTTAAATTGTTGAGTTTACTGTACCTATAAGTTAAACGTTCAAACATATCTAACTTCCGAATTACTTTGACAGTTTATAAAACAAGGTATATACTTTTAAGATTTTTTGGTATCAAGTTTGGCCAGCGTCAATATGTAAAACATATTGTGTAACATTTCGTGTCGATCATCCAATCAAATTAAAGCCGCTATGTTAGTCAAATCCGCCCATATCGATATGATAAAAATGCTTTTTTTTGTTAAATAGAAATCGGTTTTAGAATAACCTTTTAATATATTACAGTATTACAGATTAATTCTATATCGGGTAAAATTTCATTTTAACGACAATTTTTGTCGTCATGGCTAGTGTACGTAATAAATTGTCGTTACTGATCGAGCACCGCACTCTAGACCATCTTTACTCAAAAACATTAACGCAACGTTTAACCGCTTATTTGCTTTATATTTAGAAAACATTATATGACTAGATTTTATTTATTTTTTTTATTTATGTAAAATAAAACTAAAATAAAATACGAACTTGTTTAGTGGAAGTTCTGGATTATAGTTTATAGTTCAAAATTTGATTATTGGCAGATTTAGTTTGTTTTGAGAAAATAGCCTCAGCCGTATCAAAATTATCGACTCGATAAGCTTATAAATTTTAGTCACTATTCACGTTCTTTGTCCTTTCTGTTATCTCGATCCCTATCTCGATCCTTGCGGTCAGAAGAACGATATGGTGAGCGTGAACGAGAACGGCGGGGAGAACGAGAACGGCGGGGAGAACGGGAACGGCGGGGAGAACGGGAACGGCGGGGAGAACGGGAACGACGGGGAGAACGGGAACGGCGGGAAGAACGGGAACGAGAACGACGATATGGAGAGTAGGATCTTCCACGGTAGCCACTAGACCCGTATCTTTCATAAAAAGTACAGCATTTGACGTTAATAATAAATCAAATTCAATTTTGAGCTAAGAAATATAACCGCACCTAGTACAATTTCTGGCACGATGTCCCGGTTGTCCGCAGGTACTAGTTAATTATATGTTCAAATCAGTGCTGAGGGCGTTGGTAATTGTAACATATAACACTAACGATATACAACTCACAAACATCGATTTTCTTCATATCTAACGAGAAATGCATATTTCAAAGCAATTAATCAATGATTTATGAACAAATTAAGAAATTCATTTCTTATGAGCAATACCTGCGGGAGCGTTCACCACTTTGTTTAAAAGCCAGACCATGAATGAAATACGTAAGTAAAATAGAACAATTATTAGCGTTCGGTACATTTGTTCTTACCTTCCCGGCGGTTCTGGACTAATATCAGATTTTGAAAAATTAAATAAAATTCAGAATTCATAAAAATAACAATGCATCGCTTACGTACCAATCTCTGGCCCTATAACAAAAGGCAAATAAATAGATACCGAAATAACAAATTGATACAATTATCAAAGCCTGGAATATTTATCTCACCAATGACCTTTAAATGCAAAAAATAATTTAAAATTGGGTAAAAACAAAAAAGTATAGTTCCAAACCATACACGTAAGAAAATTAATAGCCAATACGCACCAATTTGCCCACAATTAAAACATCTTTCTGGTGGTCGTCCATCATAACTACGACCACTTCCATGACGACTTTCACGAGCTCCACGCCAAGTACTACCTATTTTAAAAAAATAAAAGTATTTAACCATAATATTAAATAAAATAAAGTTTATTAATTAAATCATCTCACCTCTTGCAAATTCCACTAATATTCTATCATCATTTCCTTGAATGCGACCACCGTCCAACGCCCTGAATTGATACTGTGTTAAAACTTGAGTCTGCTGCGTCGGCGATACACCGTTGACACCATCGACTCCTCTTGCCTCGCACCATACAGACAGATATATATATATATATACATGTTTTTTTTTTTTTTTTTTTTGCTTTTATTATTATTATATTATTATATTATATTATTTTTTCCTGCGATACCGTCTTTTTTTCGCGAAATGCACCAAAACAGAAAACAACATGTCGCAGCCCCGTGTTACGCCTCTCTCTGCCGACTGCTGCATCATCGTTCTCCTTTTAGAGCTCCTCACCTCATCGCATCATCTGCGTCTCTCGGATCGTCGAACTGTACAAAGCAAAAGCCAATCTGAAAAGTTTTTTCTATTGTTAAAAATAATATTGAAAACAGATATAACATAAATATTTTTTATCGAATATAAATTCACCTTCATCTGAAAGTAAGAGAAAATTAATAAAAAAATGAATGGTATATCAATTAACATAATCATATAATCTGAACAAGGGTTGTAATAAGTAATGCAAAATTGAATAGGCTTACATCAACTTCGCGAATTCTTCCATACTTTCCAAAAGCCTCGTCGATGTCACGTTCCGTAACGGATCTAGAAAGACGTCCTACAAATATTTATTTTGAGACGTTATAAAATACTTGGGCCTAACCTCTACATATGCCTTATGATTTAGAGATACATATAAAACCTCAATTTTTTATACTTCAGTTCAACTGACCTACATAAAGTCTTGCGGAAAATTTATCAGCACTACTACCACTACTACCATTGCCGCTCCATCTTTTACTATCTTCTTTACGATCGTCCGAATAAGACATTTTTGGCCTGTTTTGAGAAAAATAGTTATTGGTGGAAATTACCAATGCAATATTTATATGCTATGTTGTACAACAATAGATTATGTAAGCTCATTTTTCATTGAATAAACGAAACAAACGACAATATTTATTTAATATCAGTCATTATTATGTCTCTTGTTGCTGATTACAGCTCGGACGTTTCGAGTAGCGACGAAGAAATCACATCAACTGAAATAAAGACAGAAACTCCAAAAAAAACTTCAATATCTTCCTTACTCCCACCACCAAAAGCCCTATCTAAAAGCAAGAAGGACGGTGCATTAAAAACAACAAATTTTATGCCCCATGCGATCACAAGAAAGAAACCCGTCATGCAAGCAAAATCTGATACAAAAAATGAGGATGATACTGAAGATGTAAACACAATTACAGAAGCATTTTTTCCGTTAGGTAAATAGTAAATACTTTTTTCTATTACTTGTCGATTATTCATGCTGCTAATTTGATCACATACATCCTTTCAGGGCCTGAAATAACGAATATAAAATCAATTAATGAGACCAAGGATGCATCAGCAGCTTCTGTTGCCACTAGAGACAATATTGAACCCTATGCGATTGCAGGTGCAACTGACATTTCTTTTCCCACAGATGGATATACATATAACGAATATTATAATGATGGCCAATGGCAAGAAAATGCAAATGCTTACGAAGAATATCAAGGAATGTATGATGAACCACAACAGAAAATGGGAAGTGAGCAGGCACAATTGAATTGGGAACTAGATGACGAAATGGTAATTACCTAATCGTATTTTGTTTTCATATTTCACAATTTAATAGCAAAATGTTTTCTTCAGTTTCAGAAACTGGGAGGTCGAAGAGGAAAGAAAGAGGGGCCAATTAAAATTAAAGAAATTAACGCAGCCGATCAAATGGCTGATTCATGGCAATATCAAGTTGCCAATTTGTCAAAACCGACCAGAGGATCAAGCGAAGGATCTGCGGTAAATCACATTACTTTGTAGTTATAAATAATGAGAATATAAATTGACATTTTATGATTTTAGCGTTTAAAACCTACTAGAGGTCAGAAGAGAAAACATAACCTAATGTATTTAGCTTTTCATGCAACTGCAATGGAAAGTGAATTGAAAGAACAGCATGCGTCAAATAGAAAAACTAAGAGAGAAACACAAGCAAAATATGGTACATACACTTCAATTTGCTTATTTTTGTGAGTTTATGTATTTATAATTGTATTTTTTTGCATATCAGGATTTTAGAATGTCCTTATGTTTTGCAAATCCGGTCCACTGGTTAAATTTTAATGTGGTGCACCTGCGCTTCCGATCACGGCGTTAGAATTAGCAACATAAGTTTTTTATACTATATAAATTTTAAAACAATTTCTATTTGACATCTAGGTGTATAAACACTTGATTTCACGAAGCAAATAGAATAACTAATCAAAAGATAAAATAAAATATATGTCAATTATATGTGTATTAATAAAATTTAAAATTTTACTTATAAGACAATTTTTCAATAAGTAAATTTATTGTGATAATTATTATCAGTGTTGTCACAAGACAGCTCTGGACAAATTGTGGGCAATTGTGGACAATTTTGAAATTTTATTAAGATAACCTATCTTAACCTTTTAGAATAATTGGTTTTTATTCAATTGGCCAATCGATTAATCGATTAGTTGACTAATCGATTGGCCAACTAATCGATTAGTTGAATAAATAATAGACGAAACTTGGTAAAATACACGTAAGGTAGTAACCGGTTGATATTCTTATATGATCGGTTGATTTAATCGACCAATTGACTAGTCAATTAATTGCAGTCAGGGATTTTACCAAATAAGGGGGACGTCTAAAGCCGTGTCCAGTCACGTGGTTTTTGTTTTTTAATTACAGTCAGGGCATTTACCAAATTTGGAATTGACGATCTAGAATGATCTATGAAATTTGGCGAAATTTGATTGGCTCTG